AGAGAGAGGTGATCTATCGAAATCCTTGATCGTTACAAATTGTTTTATCATAAATTCTGTGTGAAATTTTTTTTACATAAATTCACTTAACCAATTATTTATATGATAATGTTATTACATAAAATTTTATACATTTTCTTAAACAAACTTGTAAAAAAAAAAAAAAAAAAAAAAAAAAAAGGAATTTTAAATGGAACGAACTGTGAAATATAAATTTTACTTCAACATATATATAGAAGAATAAAAATATGTCGGTAATTTTATTTTATTATTCCCACTCGCGCGTAGATGAATAAAGATTGCGTCGGGAGAATAATAATGATGATGAAATGCGGAAACTGTGCATTACATTTAAACACGCTATTAAATATTTAGCCGCGAACGCATTTCGGGGGGAACGCAATTAATAAATTCATTGTGCCGCGCATTCGGCGTTATTAGTGTTATTACTCACTTCGTAATATCGCCTGTGGCTCTATTTAGCGTCATTACTCGTGCTCGACGTACGTAATGGGACTCGAATTCGATTATCGAGTTGTAGGACCGGAGGTTTTAAACATTCCGGTCACGTAGCGATGAAGTGCTAACGAAGATAGGACAAACACGCGCTCAGTTTCTGGATCGTTAAATATTCCAATGCGCTATCTCTCGACTACACGGCTCTCGTCGCAGAGGGATGCGTGCGTCTCTCCAACATCCCCCCCGGCCGGCGCGCGTCTCTCATCCCGGAATAGGGTTGTCCCAGCATGATAGGGGAAATCAGCGCCCTTGGCTAACCCTTAATTAAGTGTCTCTCGTTACCCATTGGCCCTATATCATCAATAATTTTAGTAAACCGTAGACCGAATACTAATTCTATTAATTGTTGTAGTCGACGCTCGAGAATTTTGCCATGTACACGCTCACGTCGAATCCACGTCAAAAGTTTCTCCAACTTGTGAACAATGAAAGCGGATAATAATAACAATCGCCGAGAGAGAGAGAGATGTCACGGTATAAATTATTGAGAGAGACGAACGAAAAAAGAGAGAAAATCATTTTGCAAGATAAATATTGTTTGGCGATCCGCAATTATATTGTTCAATATTTAATGGATAATAAATTACGGAGATATAGAATTGAATGTCTTTGTGAGAGTGGGTATAAAGTAAACTATAACGCTCCGGGAAACTGATGTACGCGCGCAGAGATTCCATTAAAGAGAACCGCGTGTATAGTCCGCGGAAACTCTCTGGTCGGGGATGAAGTTATTTTAATGGAGTAGCACGTTTCAGTTTCCGCGTGCGAGACCGCGGGACGCGCGTTGCTCGAAAAGTTTGTCGCTTTAAATACCCCTCCCGACATTGACCCGCATGTCGTTTCGGGAAGTGGCCTCTCCCGGCCTCTCGCGTGTATCTTCTCGCGCGGCCGCGGAATTCGCCTCCCTCTCTCTCTCTGAAATAACAGCCCCGGTAATTCCCGGGGGGATTTTTCGTAATTGAAAAACTTTTCAGCGGCCTCTCGCTAATCCTTTGAAACGGACGTTAGAGCCTGCGAATCCGCCACAAGCCTTTTCCCGCTCAATTCTCTTAAGGAAACTTTACGCGAGTTTGCTCAACCGCTTGCCACTCGTGCGAGGAAAACGCGCGTTACCGTGAATAGACCCAGCAACCGACGTGCGTTTTCTGTATTTTTTGATGACCGTGTAGTAACGAGAGAGAAGCAATAGCTATTTGAAGGAAAAATTATTATATCTTTCTATTTTGCTTTTTTTTTTTGGGCGGTACACGCATGCGTATATACAGTGTTGTGCGCGTTTCAAATTTATTCGCGACTCGAGCGAAAACAATTCTTCTCGCGACACGATTCCGGAAACGGAACAATTTCCCCGCGTTTCTCTAATTAATTAACTCCGCTGCGGTGCTGATTATCTTGAAACTTAAACTCTGTTTAATCATCATTAACTCCCCGATAACCGGCTGGCGCAAACGTTTCTCGGGAAAGGGAACAAAAACAAACGTATAGTCGCGCGCGCGACGACGCGCCAACCGGGGGTTTTGTCGCGTCGCGATGCAACCGTCGTCGTCGTCGTCGCGGCCGGATAACAACGATAAGCTCGCTAAGAAATTAGTAAATTACAGCGGGGCGAAGCCTCTCGGGAATGTCGCGAGTTACGAGCTTGAGTCTTTATTACGCTGATGAAAAGAGACGTGAAAATTTCTACTTATAATTTCCCCAAGCTAGTCGTTTATTCCAAACAACATTCCGCATAGAAATTTGTCTCAAAAATCTAATTGGAATCCGGTCAGATTTCCGGAAAGAATTCGAACACAGAAAAAAAAATGGAGTTGCTTCAATTAAAGTTGATTTGTCACGGGCTGCCACAAAAATAGATAGTTCATTCATTTGCGTATGCGATTAATTTAATGTCTAGATTGCTTAAAGCAACTATCTGCTGTGTTTAGTGCAACAATATTGATGTTGCATCAACAGGATATATTTCAATTAAACCGATACTGTTGATTCAACATCATTTTTTTGTCCGTGAAGATTCTTGTTTTTTCGTAAGAATTTCCTCAGATTCTGATCGAAATATAGAGAATAATTTTCACATATTCGTATAATTCTTTTGTTTAATTGTGATACTTTGACAATCTACATACAATAATTGAATAAATTATAGATCTCAGAGTCAACAGGTCGAAGCGCTTTAAACTTGCGCTCACCCCTCTACGTTTATTTCCTATGAATTAAAAGTATGTCGAGTACGCGCTTTCATCTCTCTTTATGTCACTCGAAACGAATAGAGACGGAATAGAGATGGAAATAGAGAGCTCGCTGTATTATACATTCGCCTCTAATTTTTTGCGGAACTGATAATTTTCTTTGTGTCTTCGCAAGCGCAATAAATAACAAACAAAAAACGAAACAAAAAAAATCTGCAAAGACAAAGTCGGGATGAAGCGTTTGCGTAATAAATTTACAATTGTTTGAAGCGTGATTGTACACGCACAATTTTCTCTTGCACTTTATTCTAAATCTGTTCTATTCGTTCGAATTGTACAATAAGATACTATTTGTGGATACAATATATAGTAATTTTGTTACATTAAAATCGTGTAAGTGTCACGTAAGTGTCACATGAAGCTGCGCCAATAATGCCTCAATAATATCAATCAAAACAATGAAAAAAAAACTACAACTTTATTTGTAAAGGCATTTACGCCACTGCCTATACGTAACCAAATACACGATTACGCAACAATCGAGTTAAGACGATTTATTCTTCAATTGTCTTCTTTACTGCATTAAGTGCTGCATCAAGTATTCGTGACAGTGGATTATTCCTAACGTTTTCTGTTATATATGAGATATATGCTTCTACTTGATGTAAGTATTCTATCACCTGTACTTGTGTAACGATTGGATTCTGTGGAAGAATTTGATCCTGTGTAACAGTTCGATTCCGTTCATTTTCTATCCACTGATACAATATATTGTAAAGAGCATAGTAATCATTAGAGTGCTCTCTTATGACGTCGTCAAAATATCGATTCAAACTTTCCGCAAGATTATATACATCATCTGACACAGCTTCAAATAATATATCTCCTAATAAAAAAAAATAAACATATTGAAAAAATATATACATATATTATTGACGTTATTATAAATATATATATATATATATATATATATATATATATATATATATATTATTGACGTTTGTTTTTACAATTCTCCGAGAAACAAATAAATTAAATATAAACTAATTAAATACAATAATTAAATATTATTGAATACATTACCATCCAAGTTTTCTAGTTTGAAAAGAAGATTATCTTCTATTACATCTAATAAGACACGTATTGTAAGAAATTTTTGTTCAATTCCGCATGTTATCTGCAGATTGGTCAGAAGTGGAATTTTACATTTCTTAAATTCTGTTGCTAGTATCATGCATTTTTCTACAACAATAGTATGGTTCAATAATTTCAACAACATTGCAGTAAATTGTTTTGTGTCGCTTTTGATTATCATTCTGAGTGCTTTTTCAAAAAAGTCGAGTATTGTTTCTACGTGACCGTATATGTTCCGTACGTGATGAAGATTAGAAAAATCAAATACAAACAAATTCTTTTGTTTTATATTATTAACTAGTGTCAGCCAATTGTAGTAGAATTCCAAATGCCGTGCGGGATCATAGTTAATTGTGCGGAAATACTTCATGTTGTACAAAATACGAATCAATTCTTGCATGTTAAAAATATCTTTCAGTACTAACGAATTGTGAGAAGAAGCTTCCGTCGAGATTGTTTCTGATAATATCACGAGTATGGCTAATATCAACGTTAAGAGATGAACTGAAATATAATTTTTGATTTTTGATTTTTGATTTTTACATATATGATTATTATTGTTACATATAGTATATGATTCTTTTCGATTATAAGTGTTATCATTATACGTACCTTTGTCGTAGATTCTCATTAAGTAGATTATAGAATATATGAAAGTACCACTTTTAAAGTAAACAATCCATTTCGATGTGGGTCTCATTTTTACGACGAGCGCTGCCGAATATAAAAATTCGAGAGTATGTTTTACTAAGGATTTGATCTGATCATTCTTCAAACAAAACGTAAGTTCGTTAACTAACTTATGGTCTTTTCCAATCCTTTCAATCATTTCGACCACGTAGTCAGGTTTTGTTTGGTTCACCTTAACTTGGCAAAGAATAGAGAGAATTTCTACAACTTTGTCCTAAAAAAATATATTTATTCAGATTAAAGCATAGGTAATATTAACAATTAATAGAATCTATAAGGCTCTCTGAGACGTAATAAGCAATAAGTATATGTGAATACGGTCAATAAGAGCAAAACACATTCAGCGAATAGCTCTTATTGACCGTATTCACATATACTTATTGCTTATAGGTAATATTAATTCTATCTATATACAGGGTGTCCCAGCAAGTCCGTATCACCGCTCGTAGGCGAGTAGAAGGGGTTATTCTGAGTCGAAAAGTCCTTTACCATTTTGCGAGATTCGCAATAATAATAACGAATTCTTAATAAATAAAGATCCGCGAATGAGCGTGCAGCCACGTGCAAAATGACAGCTCGGAGCTGTCATTTTTTCGCGCGCTCCTACGTCGTAGTAACGGAATGAGAGGAACTAAATAACCAGCATATAATATACATAAAAAGTCAATAACTAACTAATGTGACGCGAAAATATGGACTTTGTATTTTTTTAATTCAAATGATAAAGTCTAATGTCAAGAGATAAGTTAAAAATGAGTTTTTTAATACTTTTGTAATTACTTATTTACTTATTAATAATTATTTCCTTTTTTTTATTTTAAGGTTTACACAGAAAGAAATATTTAATTATTACAAGAAATTAAATTTTTTTTTCTATTCTTTATAGGATTTTTTAAATACATAATAAATAAGTAAATAAATGAATAAAATTGTTATATATTCCGTTACTGCGACGTACGAGCGCGCGAAAAAATGACAGCTCCGAGCTGTCGTTCTGCACGTGGCTGCACGCTCATTCGCGGATCTTTATTTATTAAGAATTCATTAATTATTGCGAATCTCGCAAAATGGTAAAGGACTTTTCGACTCAGAATAACTTCTTCTACTCGCCTACGAGCGGTGATACGGACTTGCTGGGACACCCTGTATATATACATATATATATATATATATAAATTAGTGTTTTTTTTATATATATTATATCTTCAAAATGACACTACAGCTCGAGATGGACCGTGGTATTCAGAAGCCTAACCTTCCACTCAATTGTAGAGAGTGCGAGAAAGGACGAGGTTCTTTCTCAGGTGGGCTTCTTACTACCACGGAAGTGTATACCGCTCCGAGGTTTAACTTCTGGTCTCTTACCAATACAAGTTTTACGGAGGGGCAAGGTTGTTAGCCTAGCGCCCAATCTCCAAACCGGCTAACTGATTGGAGGCTCGATTCAGTTTGCATTTCAATCGGTAAGTTCGACTGAAAGAGACCGGTCCGGAAAAATCCAAAGTTTGTGTGTGGATTCAAACTCGGGATCTTTCTGGTTGTGTAGCCTCTCCGCATTTAGGTCGCTGAGTCACACTCAAAATCGGTGCATATACAATTGCACACTAATTTATATTTTTTTTTATATATAATATAAATAAATAAAAAATTGCCTCGCGTCCCTATCTTTTTTTACTTATATAAATAAATATATTAACGTACCTTACAAAACGGCGTTGGTTTATTGAGCAACAGATGTCTCACTAATGTCAGAAATTTATATTTATAGAGAAACTGTTTTACTTCCTCATATTTAACGGAGTGCACTAAAACTTCAACTAGATACGTTTGAGCGAGAGTGGGTGATGTTACCTCGCGGATCTGCAATGAGAAACATGAGGTATGTGTGTGTTTTAATTAATTTGTTGTCATCACAACGCACACGAAACGAACTAACTGATTGCTTGGAGAAAATCTCATCAAGAAGAAAATTTTTAGTTCCGACCACATTTATTCAAGATGAACGTTTCTCCGTTTAAATATCGAATTATGTTAAACAACTTTCGCGGCGTACTACTCGTTCGCGTTTGTCTTTATTATTGTATTTGTATATTATCGTTCGAAAGTTTGAGTGTGTTCTATAGAAACGGTTGTGTAGAACGCTCAAGCCCACACACGGACGACAATATGTCCTTACGTATAAACAAAGATTTGTGACACGCAATGTGACACTACGCAAATCATTTTTCTGATATGCAAAATTAATGTTAATTAATTTTTTATATTAAATACTTAAATTATATAAATTAATATCTGCAAAAAGTCAGTAGATTGCTATGATGATGTGCAATTGTAGGTACATTTTCCAGCTTCAACTTGCATTTTTTAATTTTATCATTTTATTAAAACAATTAATAATTGTTGTGCGATGTTGGTTTTTAATATTTACGTGCGCGCGCGCGCGCAAGAGAGAGAGAGAGGAGAGAGCTATTGGAAAAGCTTATCCGAACTATCTTGTCGGCCGATCGGTTCGAACAAACGAGGTTCCGCTGTATATCTTTTTGAAAAAATTAATTAATTAAAAAAATTACCTCGTATAGATTGTTCAAACACTGGCAAATCTTTTGTCCTGTAATTTTAATTCCCGAATCTTCTGAATATACTAACAGTCCATAATCTTGTGGAGTAATTTGTTTAATTATATTTTCTATTATATTCTTTTTTGTCACATCTTTCTTGTCTCGCTTACTGTTGTTGCATTCTTCCACTTTTACGTTCATTTCTGTCAGTTCTTTCGGATCGCAGCAGAGATCGATAATATCCGTTTGTTAAAAGAAATAATATACGACGATGAGATGAGATTATTCTTGCGTTTCGCTAAAATTGAATGTATGTAAATGTAAATATATATCTGTTCACACACGCGAACAAATCTTGTTTGCCCGTGCTCCTTTGCACATTTTACTACTTACTTAAATTTTCTGCCAAATCATAACCTGCCTGAATTTCGAGGTGTCCTGACTGAGGTGTTTATACTCACAAGTATACACAACTGAAACTTCTCACAGGTAGGGACACATGCGCAGACAAAACTCTCGTTTGCTTCCAATTTGCTCTCGCGATTGCGATGTAGAAGAGACTAGAAATGGTACGGTTGAGCAGCGATTGTGCACTTTCTGTGCACTCGTGTGTATTTATTTGTGATACAAAAAATGCAACGACATGAATTTGCGGTCATCGGCAAGAAGATTCGGTATTCGGTATTGGCAGCGCTGCAAATATTATTGTTGAAAATACGCGACAGATAACTTTCCAAGTCTTTTCCACGAGAGTGTGTGAAAACACGTGACGTTATATAGATGGTGCAGTTACTTCTAGAAAGTCTCTAGTTGTGTCTGGTTGTTAGAAACACGTGATCGAAGCTGAATTTTCACTTTCCTTCATGGAATTTTCATTTGTTTTTTAACGACCGTGAACAGCTAAGTCCGTAAGTTGGAAAGAGAAACGAAATACGAGGAACGAAATATTTCGCCTCTCTATCATGAGTTTATATCGCGTTAGGCGTGCAATTTAACACGTATCGCGAAATCGCATTAATTGCGGCGTTCGAGGCGTCGGAAAATTATGGAACTAAATTTGCGTGCGCGCGCGCACGTCTTTTCTTCCCGTTCCCGCGTGATTATTCGCGTCCCCCGTTCGTCACACACTTTCGTTTATATCGCCGCGCGGGAGGGAGATAAATTTCACGCCGTTATTAAGGGACGCCCTCGAGACCGAAGTATCTCATAGCTTCGCATCTGGTAAGGATAATGTTTCTCGCCGTCGTCGTCGTTGTCGTCGTCGTCGTTATCGTCGTCGTTGTCGTCGTCCCTTCCTCTCTGTGCCCGTAAGAATTCCTGAGACTTCCTGTAAAAAGAGCATGTTTCGACGTTACATCCTGCGCGCTGATGTAATCAGCGTTTCGCTGGAATTTGCATGAGACGCTCTCGCGTTCTCAGCTGTTGTTAAGCGCACCGATATACGTTCCACAGAGAGAGAGAGAGAAAAAGAGAGAGAGAGAGAGAGAGAGAGAGAGGCAAGCTTGATAAAACGCGTATAAATATTAAACTGTTGTTATTAAAAAATAAAAATACTGGAAAACGTGTATTCGACAGAGATATTATTACGGTAAATATTTAGTCGACGCGCGCGCGGAGAGAGAGATATTATTCTCTCCTTTATATGTTTTTCACTTGTAATTAGCGTTCCGTTGGAATTTGCATGAGATCCTCTCACGCGCTCTGATGAAAACGCGCTGATGTTATACCGTAGAATACAAGAGAGGGTTATATATATATATATATATATATATATATATATATTAAACGTATAAATATTAAACTGTTAGTATCGTTTATAAAAAAAAATACACGTTTATTCAATCTAAATATCATTGCAGAAAATATTAATTTGACAGAGATACATATATATTGTATCTTCTTTTGTGATATATTTTTCGTTTCGTTCGCGCGAGTATATATAAAGCCGCGTCAGCGTTGCGTGTGTATATTCTCGAATCACGATAAACAAGTTTAGCGTGTCGTTGTGTGTGCTATAATCGCGTCTTGCGCTCGGAGATTAATTATACATAGCGCTGTGTGAGTATTAAATGCATTTATTAGCGCAGCGTTTGCACAAGTCGAGAGAGAGCTTCGTCGCAGGAAGAGCCGTTGTACGGGCTCTTGAACGAGCGACGCATGTTTCCCTGGCGTAGTATGTACCACGTGGCCACGTGGAAATTCCATTAACCGCCAGGGCAAACTCGGCAAATTCGTCGCGACGATCCCCTAACTTTGCCATCATCGCCAATCGACATGCGCAGCTAACCTAATCGGGACCGTCGCTTTAAGTTTCGCCCCCGCAACCGAGGAAGGATTCAACGAAGCGTTCAAAGCCAATTAAGAAATTGATAAAGCGACCTGACGGACAGAACACAGGAGGGTTCTCTCTCTCTCGTGGCAATTTTCCCCTCGCGCGCGTGGATACGCAAAATTCACGCTGCACGTTTAACTTTACAGCGCGCATCGTTAACTTTGCAGCAAGCTCCCAGCTCTCTCTCTCTCTCTCTTTCTCTCTCTTTCGATCGATATTGTCGAATGCGCGAGCGGAAATTACACCGCAATTCGCGTCGCCGAAGAGAGGAGCAATGCTGACGATGATGAAGAGACGACAGAGAGAGAGAGAGGGTGAGAGGGTGAGACAAACTCGCCTTCGCGTTACTCTCTCGCGTTTAGACGTGGCTGCGTCTAAAATCACATTAACCGGCTCCAGAAACTCTGTAAATTCGCCGGGTCGGTCGGTGTTTCCGGCGAGAGCGGGTTGGTGGGACGATCTTCCCAACCTGGTCTTCTCGGGCGCTCCACGCGACTCTTGGGGAACTCTCTCTCCAACTCTTGGCATCGTGTCTGCGCAACGCGTACTTGGATCTCGTTCGCCTGGGAACTTGGTTAGGTTTTAAGCATCGATCCGTCAAGAATACGACGCCCGACGATATCGATATGCAACGGCTCCGATATATATACGGAGTTAATTAGCGCGCGCGCGCCTACCCAATCACCTCCGCATTTATCATTCACCTAATATCAGCGTCGGCGTAATCGAGCACAATATGATTGGTTATTAGCGCCGCGTGTGTGATTAATATCTTCTCTCAGAGAGATTAGAAAGATTTTGACAAGCAATTCACAGGATTTTCCGCGTCTCGGAAAATTTCTACACTGAGAAAATAAAGTTGGTGAAGTAACAAAATAGTATTCGATTCAACTATATGCAGCGGTTCACGGGCTGTCAATAAAATATTGATTAATGTAAGAAGATATCATGTTTTCAATAGATATAATAATTAGATTATACCGAAAGACAATTTATATATATAAGTTGTTTTAACAAAATTTATAATTTGCTTAAATACAGGTAACTTTGAATGTACAACACAATAGGACAAGACAATATTTTGTCTGCTTATAAAAAATAAGCAGTTTGATTAAATGAAATACTTCGTACAAAGAAATTCAGATTATATTCAATTAAAGTAAATGAGAATTGCCTATCATCATCTTTTTTAACATTATCTTTTATTTGAAATTATCACAACTTATGTTCGACAAAACAATTCATGGTTTAGTGAATTAAATACGTTCATTACCACTATTGTTAATTCAATTTATACGAATTTGTTATCTTTATTACCATATGCTTGAATTAAAAAACCAAGTATTTCAGATAACAAACTGAAACTCAACTAAACGCATTTAGTTGAGTTAATAGTATCTTTCTCTCAGTGTATGCGAATGAATATAACGGAGAGATTTGTGATGGAAAAAAATGAATTTTGACAAATACTAAATAATTCCCTTCGAATTATTTTGTTTTGGAAAGCAACGCTTTATTATCTAAAAATGTATTATTGTTTTTTACTCCAAAGAGTTGTTTTTTTATGTACAGCTTTAAATAATTTTCATTGAAGAGTAACTGTTGCAAAAAATCATGATGAAAGTCACCATTTCAACTATCGAGTTCCAACTTTCTGCAGACACTTTTCACGTAGCGTAAAAAAAAGAAAAAAACCACGAACAAGAAAGAGTTTTCCGCTTCTGAGTTTCACGCGAGTTGAAAACAATTCTCGACCGTACTTTTCCTCGCGAAGTTCTTATGTATTATCCCGAAGGAAACGGCACTTGGTCGGCATTTTTGAGAGAGACGCGTCGGTTGAGTATATGGACACAACAACGGCGGTGGATTCCCCGGTTGCGCCTAGCTGTGAGCATCAGTGCGCGACAACAAAACAATTTTAACGACCATTTTCAAGAGAGCGTCGCGAAGAGAGCATCTCCGAGAAAACAATCTCGTTTTCTTGAGATTGGATAGAAATTACATGGATAAGAAGTGGCGCAACATGAAGAAGTAATTTTCGTATATTGCTATATATAGCAGTCTTCGCGGTTGTGTTATTAAAAATTTAATCGCGCGACGTCGAATGAAGTGGAAAAATGTATATCGAAAAAAAGATTGCGCAAAAAAAAAGATATGGCAAATATTTAAAATAAATAAAAACTATATATATATAACTTTATTAAACTGCGACGAGGATAAAAAAAAAAATCCTGGGAAAAACATATTTTTGATGGCGAAAGAGAGTCTATCGTGTCGGACTGAGGCAAGACGCAACTTAAATCGTACTTATAACCCGATCGCCTATTAAAGATACTTCGGTAATTAACGTAATTATCTCGACGATTCTCTTCCTCTCTCGGCGTTCCATTCGACCGAACCAGACGACGGAACCACTCGAGGCATCGAACTCGATCTCTCTCTCGTTCCCTTCTCCTCTCCTCTTCTCCCCTTGCGAATTCACCGCCATTGTTGAGCGCGCATTTTTTTCTCCGACAATTTCTGGAGCGATCCATTAATTCCCGTTCTAAATTAATTTTTGCGCGATATCGAGTCCAATAACTATTAACCGTCTCGGGTTTTAGCCTCTGTAACGTGTTATTATACTGTGGAAAGATTGTCTTGAAATATCTTGATAAAAAATCTTGATAAAAAAAATTTACAATAGAGACAATACATATATTTTTTATCGAATGCGAAACAATACGAGCGAAAATACAATTCCGAATATGAATTGTTGTAAAAAAAAAAAAACATTCTACACAACGCGCGCGTAAATCTCCATTTGCATTCTTGCTGCCTCCTTCCGCGAACCGCGACACAAATCGCCTATATTCCTTTTTTTTTTTTTTACGAGCACCCGGTCATTTCCACGGTCGTTAAGTGCCCATAAAAGGATGATCTAGCGAGTTCTGTCGCTTTAGTTCAAGTGGATTTCAACACCACATACATGGCATCTCGTTTTTCACAAAAGCTCTTAAGCTTTACTGGCGGTTAGAATCAAGCCTTTTAATCTTGAACTTATTTTGCGCGTTTGATTTATCGTGGCGGTCAATTTTATCATTTTTCATTAATCGCGAAAACGACACTCTCTCGCGTAGAAATTTATCCGGAATCTAATTGGAATCTCCAGTTGGAAATTTTCCGGAAGAAATCTCATAGATATTCCGACTTGGAAACATCTGTTCATTCAGATCGTTACTTGCTGTTAA